AACTCCTTTGCATTACAGATTACATGCTGGTCGCAGCAAACTTGTTTTCTTATAAACTGATTCATTACTGCTGTAACATTTGGCAGAAACATCTCTTAATCCAAACTTGTATTTGGTTTGATGACATTTTAATTCCTTTCATGAAGAACTGAGAAATATTTACATATATGTGTAAGGAAGCACTTTGCTTTGCTGAATTTGCTTTTACCTTCAGTCTGGAGAAGAGAAGGCTGCATGGAGAGCTCATGGCAGCCTCCCAGTATCTGAAGGGAGCCAACAAGAATGCTGGGGAGGGACTCTTCATCAGTGACAGGACAAGGGGTAATGGGTTCAAACTTAAACAGGAGAGATTCAGATTAGATATAAGGAAGAAGTTCTTTATTGTGAGGGTGGTGAGGCACTGGAATGGGTTGCCCAAAGAAGTGGTAAATGCTCCATCCCTGGCAGTGTTCAAGGCCAGGCTTGACAGAGCCTTACGTGACATGGTCTAGTGTGGGGCATCCCTGCCCATGGCAGGGGTTTGCACCTGGATGATCTTAACATCCTTTCCAACCCAAACTGTTCTATGATTCTATTCTAATTTTGTACTTGCATGCAAAAAACAATATTCAGGTGCAAACTAACATAGTAGCTATTTGCTGTTTGTTATTCAGTTATTCCTTATTCACCTGTGCCTTTTTGGAAAGTTTTTTCCATCTGTTCAGTAAGCAGAAACATTATTGTTACTATCAGGTGGCATTCATGAACAATATCATTCTTCCTGCGCCATAAGGCACATAAGGGAGAAGTCAAAACAATTACTAACAATGCATAGCCAATAGCAAACAGCTGACACAAAATCCACATGCTAAAATGCTTCGTCCAAATAATTCAGTGCATAATTAACCAATGTGTTGGCACAAATCGGCTCATTAAAATATCTAGAAGCAGTAAATAGCGATGGATATTCATTTACTATCTTTTACCACTAGATACAGTGGATATGGTGGGGAAATAGCATTGCATCCTCATGCTCCCTGAGAACAGAATAGTTCCTTGTCTGTATAAGGACTGGTCAGAGAGGTTCAGATTAAGTTAACTGAAAGTGTGGAATTCTTGTATATAACTTAGGTGCAACAAAGCCAGTATGGACCCTTTCCCTGAGAGCAAAGTAGAAGGCCACAGGGGGTATCTGCTCCAGTGCCTAGAGCACCTCCTCCACCTCTGCCTTTGGTTCTCCCTCTGTTATTTCTTTTTTCCCTTCCTCTTCTACCTCTGTAGCATTTTCTGACCTTTCTTAAATATGTTTCCCAGAGGTGCCACTTCTTTGGCTTCTCACAAAGGCCACACATGTAGCCCCTGCCTTTCCTACCAACACTTTGACCCCTACACCCAACGCAAAGAATTAAGCTGTCAAAAGATAGTATTTTTTTTACTCTTTAACTTATTCCTATTAATTTTATTATTTCTTTAATTACTCTTGTTTCCATTGGAAACCAAGGCCAGGACTACATGAGGAGCTGTTGGCACACCAGTGTTATCTGAGGTGTGTTTATTGCAGTGCTTCTGAGCTAGTAGAAGATTTAATGTCGATTCTCATACCAGGGGGGAAGCCCTGTAGGCATACTATAGTTCAAATCATTTGTAGGCCTGCTACAAATCACCAGCAAAAATCTACTTTTTGCCAAGGTTGAGTGTAGTTAGGTGAATAAGACTAACATGGAGTGGGGTGAGCATGTCCAGTAGACTAAACTCAAGATGCCCTTGAGCTGCTTCATTGTCTCCTCAGGGGTTTCAGTTGACTTGGGATCTTTTCTACTCTTCAGATGTGCTGTGGGAGACAAAGCAGTAAAGTGCTATGAGGTAAAAAGCTATATTGAGGAAATGTTTTTGTGAAGCTAAGGCAAAAATGTTTTGACTAGCTTTAGCTATCTAGCTTTGTATTTTGGCCACTGTTGTAGATGGGGTACTAGCTTAAGTAGATAGATCTTCTGTCTGACCTACTATAGCCGTTGTTATTTACTCAGTTTGGTACGGTACCAGAACATTAAAAGATTATCACAGGTCTGTACAGAGTATTATTATAATTATCATTAAATTCATTTTTTATTTCTGTAACTGTGGATAGGCTTGTAAGTTATCCAAAAATAAGACCCTTCATTTTTTCTGATTATCCTAGGATGTAAAGTTGCACAGGGGGACTGGGGAAACTACGAATTTACTGCCCTCACAAACTTCCCTGCATACTAGCTGGAGGCTCAGTACACTCTCTAACATCTGCATGTTGCGAGAGATCACCAAGAATGCAATAAAAGAGCAAAATGAATCAGGACATTGCAATAGCTGTATTTAAACCAGACCAAAACATAACTTCCCTTGGTATCATCCCACGGTACTCTGAAATATTTCTTAAGCTGAAGTCTTAGAATGGGCATCTTTGTGTAAAATACAGACCAGTCAGTGTTTCTTTTACCACAGCAGTAAATTGCTTTTTGAAGCCCACACATGTATGGGCTTCATCCATCACGTCTGTGGCAATGAGTTCCACCATTTAATTATGAACTTTGTGGAATGAATCCTTGTTTGGGGCTTATGTTTTAAACTTGCTAACTGCTCTTTTTATTGGGACTTCTTCTTGTGCTATGAATTACAGTGGAAAAGCATTCTTTATTCACTTTTTCAACACCGCTTATGATTTTCTGGGGCTATGTAACAGTCCTTTCCCTCATTTGTCCCTCTTCCAATATGAAAATCCTAAAGCTGTTTTTTTTCCACTCCTAGTACAGAAGCCATTACATACCTTTGATCATCCTGTCACACTTTTCTTTATCCTTCTATTGCTATCCTGTCATTTTTGAGATGACGTGACTTGAAATGTATTTAATATTCAAGATGATAGGTGGGCGATGGAATTTTTTGGCAGCGTTATCATGTTTTTTTCTTCTGTTTTCTGTTCTTTTCCTAATGTTTCATAATATACCATTTCCTTTTTTTGACAGTTGATTAGGATTTAGGTGACATTTTCATAAGGCTGTTTCCAAGCTCCCTTTCCTAAGTAACAGTTGATTTCACTGTGTGTTTATAGATTTCCCAGGGTACAGATATGAGACCGCAGTTATTTGGCCATGAAAACACAGCTAAATTGCCAGTGTTTTAGGCTGTAAACCAGAGATTGTTGGTAGAATTTAATATTCACTCAATTCTACTAGCAATTTATGTTGTTCTAGGTTTCGTTATACCAGAGTTTTCTCACAACAAATATGTGAGATGCCTGCCATGGTCCCCATTATTTTAGTGGGTTGTTCATTATTTTAACAGAACATTAATTCTAACAAGAAACTTATACAGGAAAGAATTCATTCAATGAGTTTTATCTGGCTAATTTTGCCACTGTAAAGCATACCCTGACCGAAAACCAAGGGAAAATAAACAAATGTATAATCCTTTGCTGTACTAACTTAATGGGGAATTCAACCCATAGTCTTCAGTATCAGATAGAGATGCATAGGCCTTCAATTTTTTCATAGCTGGAATTTGCTATTACTATCATAACAGTTACTAATACTGTGTTCTGGAGCTTAATGAAATCTGGAATTAAATAAATCATCTCAGGATTGTTAAAGCCTAGCTGCCAGAGAAATTAAATAGTTGTTTCTAAAGGAAGTGCTGACAGAATAAATATATTACTGTAAGTCAGTCAGTCTCATCTCTGACTTTGAAACACTTACTATGTTACATTTAAATGATCACTGACAAAAATTAGTTAATGGGCCAAAGACACCTCAGTATCATATCACAAGCAGAGATCTTTTTTACATGAGGTTTTCAGCACTCTCCTTTCATGGAATATGAGTCATTTGACTTTTTGCTCGTTAACATAAGCTGGCTGCACTGCAGTACAGAAGCTAGGAGTGTATGAAGATTTCCTCTTAACACAGTTTTCCCTGAGGAGGAGTTCTGTTCCTTCCTAATTCTGTTTATTCCTGTGCATTATAGGCAGAATTCTCTTTGTATGTTTCCAATCTCAGTCCTACTGGTCTTGGAGAGATTGGGGATAGAAACATTTTTTTACACCTATAGTGGGTTGACCTTGGCCAGCGGCCAGACACCCATTCATCTGCTCTGCCTCTTCCCCTTCTCAGCACAACAGGGGGAGAAAATACGATAGAAAATCTTATGGGTCGAGATGAAGACAAGGAGGTAACTCACCAGTTACTGTCATGGGGAAAAAAAAAAGCAGACTCAACTTGAGAAAAATTAATTTTATTTATTTCCAATTAAAAATAGGACAGTAAGAAACAGAGACAACACTAAAAACATCTTACTTCTACCTCTTCTTTTTGCCAGGCTTAACTTTACTCCTTCATTCCCAGCTCCTCTACTTCTGCCCCCAGTCTGCATAGATAGAAGCGCTGGTCAGCTCCCACTCTTTCAGTTTCATTTCAATTTGGAGAGCTGAGATGGCTCCTTGGCTCAGTCAACTGTCCTGTCCATTAAGGACAACTGGAAATTACAAAGCTAAACGTGAAAAGGAACAAAGGGAAACACTCAGCTATTAGATCACAAATAGGGAGGCCAAATACGTGAACTAGTTGAAAAGATAGCCAAAGAACTCTACCCAATTGTTTGAAAGACAGTTAGGGATATGACTTTATGTGTCTGTTTTCTGAAAATCATTTACTCAGCGTATCTGTTTATTAAACCAGAAAGGAGCCAGACCTCTTTCATTTTCACTGTTATCTCACAACTGAACAGCTTAGAAACATAGGTATGCAAGAGAATAACTTAAATAATTACTCTTCTTGTCATTCTGACTCCCTGTGCACCCCAGTAAGCCTGATCTGAGCAGTTCAACTTATAGGAGCCCATAAACCATCTGCAGTTTCAGTGGTGGAATAAAAGAAATTATTTTATGAATTAATAACCCCATAACATGGGAAAGCAAGTTATTTTTGACAAGTTTTGCTTTACTATTTGATAGGAGATATAATTATTAAGTTCTTGATTCTTCTTCTTTTCAGGGCATACTCAACATTTTTAAATAATTTCCTTGAGACAGCAGAGTGACTGCAAAACCAGACCACCACCAACAGTTTTTTAAATATCGCTGGTCTTTTGACAAGTAAGTTCTTCATTCTCAGTTTTTTCTCTCCCGTATTCCTGACTTTCCTTTCCCCTGTATTTTATCCTTGTATTTGTCATATGGACTACCATATTCACATTCAGGGCCAAGAGAATATGAGTGCAAATTGAATAGCATGAAGGTGTTCTTAATCTTTCTCAGCTAGAATAAAACCTATCAATATCAGAGGTATAATTGAGATCAAGTACTGGCTCACCTGATTATTCCAACTTGTAATAGCAGTGCCACTAAAGTCATGTCTCTGCATGTTTGGGAACTTTTGCCTCTTAAAAGGTTAAATGTTTAAAACCTCTTTTATGTCAGCAGAATTGTGTGTCATCAGGGCCAGGAAATGCTCATCCATTTGTAGTTGGGAACTTCCTTTTCTCCTTGGGAGTCTCCAGAGGTTAATCGTTGTAGTAAATGTAACCCTAAAATTTGCAAGGATTCACATGGATACAAAAACTGTCTTCATATGTTTCCTTTGCCCATTTAGTCTTCCATGCTCTGCCTTTCTTACTCTTTGAAAGGTTGAACTACTTAGTCTCAGACTTATACTACATCAGGAGTTTGCTAACAGTGCATCTAAATCAGTACCTTGTACAGTGCAGTCCACTTAGTCCAGCAGGTTATACCAGAATAGCCCTTTAATACAACTTATTTCCATAACTACACTTACTATCTACATAGCAGCAATATCTGACTCACTTTCTCCTACCAACTCTGCATTGTCTTTCCCAAATTCTCCTGAATTCCCCAAAATTTAGAACTTTGACTGCCCTTAAATCTTATCATGCCTGTTCAGGCTTGATACATACTACCCCAAAGTAGTAAACTGATGTAAAATGAGGGAACTCTAGCCTTCAGAAAGGTCTTTAGATGTTTTTCTTCTTCTGTAATTGTGAAATTTCCTGGATTCTATTGCAGCCATACTGGGAACTGGGAAGAGGAGCTTGCATGATCCTTGGCTTTCATTCTAAAGGAAAAAGAAAAAAAATACTTTTTTCAAGGTTGTTTAAGCTTTTAAAAGTAATTTTCCTGGTTTCAGCTGAGATAGAGTTAATTTTCTTCCTAGTAGCTGCTGCAGTGCTGTGTTTTGGCTTTAGTCTGCGAACAATGCTGATAACACACCAATGTTTTAGTTGTTGCTAAGTAATGCTTACGCTGATCAAGGACCTTTCAGTCTCATGGCCTGCCAGAGAGGAGGGGCACAGGAAGCCGGGAGGAAGAAGAGACAGGACACCTGACCCAAACTAGCCAAAGGGGTATTCTGTATCACAACACATCATGCCCAGTGTATAAACTGGGGGCAGTTACCTGGAAGGGCCAGATCACTGCTTGGGTCAGGCTATTTATCGGTCAGCAGGTGGATCTGCCTCTAAGACAGTTTTTGAAGCTCTGTCCTGTTTAGCATGAAAAGCAGACCATAAAGAAGCTGAGGCCATCTGACACAATGAATCCAAGCCTAATAATTGAATTACAAAAACTCTGTGGCATTAAGCATATCAGGACTGTGCACAAAACTGATTTATCACTTCATAAACCTAGAAAATAAATAATAAATAGTGAGTCAGTCTGAATAGAGAAAAGGGAGGGTTTCATTTTGAGATGGGGGGAGGCAGGGAAACGGCTCCATTTCGGTTTAGGCAGATTAATTGATTTTAACTGAGAACACTTTGTTTTGAGTCAGATGTTACAAAAGCAAAGGAGAATGATAGGCAGATTCACAGCATAGGTAGAAGTAGTGGTGGTCATATCTCTTTTTATTTTGTAGTACAGAATTGTAATTGTCCTAGGGCAACTTCCTGTTCTAGTAACTAGTATTGGAGCCCAAATCCCTCACCCCTGATTACAGTACCTTTCAGCTATCTTGGCTCTACAGTATTCCTAGGCAATGCGTTTATTGGCATTTACTTCAATCAGTTCAATGTTCTGAAAAGGAATTAACTCCATGCAATGCCAATAGAGCACATGCTAAATGAGCGTATCACAGAAAATACTTGCCATGAGGAGTCATAATTGAGGGAGGGTGTTTGCAGCAGGTTTCGACAGGTTCACAATTAGACATATGTTTTCAGACAAACTGGAAGCTGGCAGAGTATCACAGTCAATGAAATTTGCAAATGATGCTGAGTCCAAGCCTCTTGCTATAGCAAGCAACCTGGGTTGCTTGGTAACCTCAGTCCATCTATATCAAGTGAAATAGTGAATTTAAGGCTGAATACTACCTTCATTGAGAGAAAGAGGAATTGTGTTCTAAGGAGTCCTAACCTTTGAGGGAAATATTTCAGGAATCACAACAGATAAGCAACTCAAGTGCAAAAATTGATTACATAGAACTGGGGTCATTGCTTTGGTCATGAGCCCGGCTTCAATGAGACTGACGTTAGAAGGCTGTACTTCAGTGTCCCAGCTTTAAGAAAGGGTGTTGAAAAAACAAATAGTGTCAGAAGAAGACCACAGAAAATCATTAATACAGTGAAGAAAATGGCTGCAACAGATCTGAATACCTCAGTCTGCCTTGGTTTTTTTAAAAGAAGCCACAAGCCAATTTGATGCCCTTACCATGGGAAAAAGCAAGCAAGGAATGTAGTTGAAATAATCACTGTCTGTCTTTTGTACATTTAGTTTTTAATTAGTTTCCTGGAAAAGAGTTGGTTCCTCTCAGTTGGTATCATTAAAGTAGTTTGGATTTCTGCCACAGTGTAGTGGTAAATAATACAGTGGGTGACCTTACTTGTTTAATAAACTAGACAGGGTTGTACATCATTACCCAAGTAAGAGTGGGTAATTTCCTTTTACACTGTGTTATCCTCACTTACAATATTGTGAACCGGCAGCATAATTCCCATGGTCATAATAGAGAAAAGTCTTTGATCACTGTAATCAGTCCTGTTCCAATGTTGTGAGAATATCATACACCATATTATTTTGACCACTACTTTGTTTACATTAGGTACTTCTGTTTGTAAGTATGGAGCTATATTAAGTATATTATAATATACTAAGTTGCATTTAATAAAAGCTCCCGATATATTTATTCTGATTCCTGATATTTACTTTTTACTATTTTAGAAACCAATGAATGACATTTCACAGTTACTAAGTTTATTTATGTATTACTTACATTAAGGAGATTTATTAGTCAAATTAACCATTCCTTTTACTGAGCAAACACAATTGCGTGTTTCTTTCTGCTTACTGTGTCTTGCAAGATTTTAAAATTAGCAGATTTCAGCCTCTGTTGCGGAGTTTTTATCTACAGTAGAAAGTAAGATTTTCTGCCTTTATCAGCTCTCAGGAGATGGCTTTGTAGGAACTAGAGAGTGAACAGAGCTAACCTGAATAAAGTGAAGAAAGCAACTTCTCTGCACCTGCAGAGAAGCTATCAAACAGCTCTCGAACTTGGACTAAACATATCGCCAGAGACTGTTTTCTCTGGTCACTCAAACTCTCCCAGCTCAGTGGTTTGATGGTCAGCAAATCTTTACCAACATATATGAAATACTTGAATACTCCATGTTACTAATTTAAATCTGGTTATGGAATTTAAGAAGGTTGGCAATACACTGTTAAAATTTTAAGTTTCATTTTAAATGGTCCTATTTTAAAATAAAATATATACATTTAATCTGAAATAATGCATCTGTTTAAAAAACAGTTTGAGCAAAATCCATTCTTTTGGATTAAAAAATACAGATGATGAATGGATTTCTCTCCAGGCTGCCTGCAGGACAATGGAAAATGAAACAAGCAGCTCTACTTTGCGTGACTATTTGGAAACCCTTGAGGTAGAAGAAGTGAAAGAGTGGCTTCCCTAAGGCGACAAGTGTGTTACACTTAGATGTTGATTTGTTTATTTAATAAGCATAACAAAAAGGTAAAATACTATGCATTATCTTTATGAAAATAAACAGAATTCTTATCAGAAAGAAAACAAATATTTTTTCTCATTTAGAGAATTTAAGAACCAGATTATATGGACACTGAGATATAAAGGGAACATAATACTTTTTGTTTCACTCTTTAAAGACAAGGCAGCAGTCAGACAAGTATATTTGATTTCTGTTTGGTAGCGTTGTTAATAAAGGGCTAATTGAAAGCTAACCTCAAAAATGTACAGATCCTCACTTCCAAATATATAATTCCATGTATACCATTAGCAGAATTCAATATATTTTCCTAGAAATAGAAGCTACATAATGTGAAGAAAAAGAAGCTAAATATGTAAATGGTCTTTTTTCCTAGAAACTCACCTTGAATCTGAGGTGCCTCTCCAGCTCCTTAATGTAAAATTCTGTTCAATCGAATGTAATGGATTTACTTTTAGTTATTTTTGTCTCAGATGTCTAGCAGGATTTCTGCAGTATGAAGCCAAATGGCACTGCAATCTTTGTTATGGGAAAAGGCACAAGAAAATTCAGATGAATGTGGAAAGACTGTAAATAAAAAACATTAGCCTCTGACCCAGCAATTGTCCACTAACAAGTGCAATTATGTAGACAAATGGTGCTGATCACAATCTTCTTTCCCCACAGCTTGGCAGCTGCTCGGCATAGAGCACTGCTGAATAGATAGATACGCTTTTGACGTTGGCATGAAGGAATAAGCTTGAGCACAGTGAGATAGAGGGCTCATTGACAGGCCTGACAGGTATAACAAATAAAGCTCTTGGCCACAGGAGATGCTGAGCACCTGTGACACCTGTCTTTGCTAATTCAGTTTTGTAGGTGAATGCATGAGCAAAAACGAAGGCTCACAGTTGCCTGTTTGGGGGACAGCAGAGAGTACAGCTGAATGAGGAAATCAGTTCTAGGGAGCCTGTAATAAGGCAAGAAATGCCAGTGGCATTGGGCACAAAAAGGCAGAAATTCGCCCCAGTTCAGATGTGTTGAAATTCTATTCAGGGGTTACCTTTCCCCTCAGACACTTTGTGCCGTAGCAGGTATTGCCTGTCTTTGCTGCTCGTGTTCAGTGCTGAACCCATGGGTGGCATGTTT